AGGGGAAGGAGGTGATTAATTAGATTGGAAGAATTTGGACACTAGAGGTAGAGAAAATTTTGTGGAAAACTAACAGAGGAAATACCAAAAATGTTTGAGGAAAAATTATTAGACTGTTAGCTGATAGGGAGAAAGATTGTTTGGGAAGGCATAGAAGGTGACAAAACTGAAAGGCAAAAAAGGGAGCCCTGGTGTGTACAGGGCTTTGGAATGGAGAAATCTGAAATTTATCACCTATATGGGAGGGAGCTATGTTTTAGGAAGATAGTTTATAAAATGGATGAAAAATAGGGAAATGAAGTTAGGAGATAATAGTAATGGCCTTTATAAAATGTTATCAGACCCTGAGGTAGAGTGGTGATCAAAGGAATAATGAGGATGCATTTCACACATAGAATAAAAAACACCTGATGACCTTGAATTTGGGAATAAAGAGAAAAAGCTGAAGGTGATTTCAAGTCTTTGAATTCAGGTATCAGGGAGAATGGGAAAACACAAACTCAGCTAGAAATACAAGAGAAGGAAGTTTAGACGGTAGATGGTGAGCTTTGTTTTTGGAATATTAAATCTATCACTAAATATAATAGAATCCTAGATCAACTGTTATGTCCAGCACAGAATGGAAATGTATTCAATTGAAGCTTTATCTCTAGTTCTAATCTCTAGTAAATTCTTGATCTGTATTTCTAAAAATCTGTTGATCGGTCTACTTCACTGTGCACTAGTGCTTTAAAATTCAACATGTCAGATATTTCCCCAGACTTGCCCCCCTTCCTGAATTCTCTACACATGAATTAGTGGCACCATCATTCACCCACTCACCAAGTTGGAAACCTAGGTATTACCTTAACTTTTGCCTTCCCTTGTCTACCTCACCTAGTTCGTCACTGTGCTCTGCCAAGTACATTTGTGAAGTCTTTCAAACTTTCTTACTCCTACTTATCTTAATCAGTGCTTCCTAGAACACTCTATCATCTCTTGCCTAGACCTTTTGCAATAGACTCTTAACTTGTATTTGTATTCTGTGATACCTCTAGGGTTATCTTACTAAAATATAAATTGGAATATGTCTCTCTAAAACCTGTGACTTCCTGTTTCCTACAGTATAAATTCAACAGTCTGACCATATATGCTTATCATTTATTTCAGTTTCCTGTAAGTACCACATTATAGCAGCTGGGTAAAATTATATGCCATTTCCCTAATAATCTATGTACTTTTATATTTTGTGTTTACTTCTTTCTTTCTTTCTTTCTTTCTTTCTTTCTTTCTTTCTTTCCTTCCTTCCTTCCTTCCTTCCTTCCTTCCTTCCTTCCTTCCTTCTTTCGATCCTTCTCTTTGTCTTTCTGGTGATAATCTATTCTCTATAAGTCATCTATCCAGCTCAAATATGTCTTCTGTACCCACATAGTTCTTCTACCTATATTGTTATATTTTATGTCACTCACACTAGACTGTCAGATGCTACTAGTAACTTTCAAGAGTGTGTGTTCAGTAAAGTGCTATCAGGAGTAGCAGTCCAAATGATCTTTTTCTTTTAATGAGGGCATCAAAAAATATGAAGTAGAAATAGTGACTATAAGCCAAAATTAAAGACTTTGTCAGGACAAACATGGAAAAAAATTGAACTACATGAAGTAACAATTTTTTAAAGTATTTTTAAATGTTTAAAAACTGTGTTTAACTGTGTTTGAAGGAACCATGAAGGAGAAATTTAAAACTATAAAAGGAGCAAGGTGTTAGGAGGATGAGATGGGGCTAGCTTTGGAAGCAAATAGAAAGATTATCTTTTTTTCTACGTGGACGAATGGATGAAAATTTCAATCTATTTGGAGTGTTGAGTTGAAGATGAAGGTATAGTAAGAATTTGATAGCTTTAACATATGACACAAGGGCAGACTACCAACTCACCATTTTATAATCACCATGACAGCCAGCTCAGAAAGTCACTTGTTAAGTATTCAGGAATTTTTTGAGTTAATTGTTAAATCATTGGTAGCTTACAAATAATCCAGGGAAGAAATTGGCAAAAGACATGAATAGACACTTCTCCAAAGAAGACATCCAGATGGTGAGCAGACACATGAAAAAATGCTCAACATCACTCATTATCAGGGAAATACAAATCAAAACCACAATGAGATAACCATCTCACACCTATCAGAATGGCTATCATTAACAACTCAAGCAACGAGAGATGTTGGCGAGGATGCAGAGAGAGAGGATCTCTTTTGCACTGCTGGTGGGAATGCAAACCAGTGCAGCTACTCTGGAAAACAGTATGGAGGTTCCTCAAAAAATTAAAAATAGAACTACTCTATGACCCAGCAATTGCACTACTAGGTATTTATCCAAGGGATACAGGTATGCTGTTTTGAAGGGGCACATGCATCCCAATGTTTATAGCAATGCTATCGACAATAGCCAAAGTATGGAAAGAGCCCAAATGTCCATCGACGGGTGAATGGATAAGAAGAAGTGGTATATATATTCAATGAAATCTTGCCATTTGCAACTACGTGGATGGAACTTATTCTAAGTTACACTAAGCAAAATTAGAGAAAGACAAATATATGACTTCACTTACATGAGGAATTTAAGATAAAAAACAGATGAACATAAGAGAAGGGAAGCAAATATAATGTAAAAACAGGGAGGGGGATAAAACATAAGAGCCTCTTAAATATAGAGAACAAACAGAGGGTTACTGGAGGGGTTGTGGGAAGGGGGATGGTCTAAATGGGTAAGGGGCATTAAGGAATCTACTCCTGAAATCATTGTTGCACCATGTGCTAACTAACTTGGATATAAATTAAACAATAAATAAATTTTTAAAATTAATAAATAAAAATTAAAAAAAGAATCATTGGTAGCTTGAAATATTTCATGTGGGAATATTCATACCACATAAATTGATAAATGCTACAGATTGGGACCTTTTTCTCCCCTGAATTTATTCGGTTTATTGGCACACCACAGAATGCTTCTGGGCTTCCATGAAGGCTGAGCCAAAATGCTTCCAGTTATTAGTGAAGACTAAGTAGAAATTGGAGAACATGATTATATTTTGGACCTTGTCCCTTATTTTGTGTTTCTCTCTGGTAAATCTCTACTGTGAAATAGAAAAGGTGGCTAGGGGATGATCAAAGAGATGGAAACTAAGTAGGCTTTGAGATAATGAATTTAAAATATTGGAAAGAGAAACAAAATGCTGACAGTGGCATGGGGGAGTGGCAGAGACAATTTAGCAGGAAACTAATAAGGAAATAATGGACTTACAGGAAATAAATACAGAAATAATAGGGAAAACATGGAGGAATTGTAATGGAAGAAGATTCTTGTTGGAATATAGAATAATATATTTGTGAGTGTCATGAGGAATAAGAAAGATTGTCAGGCAAAGGAGTTGTTTAGATCTCTGTGTAAAGAGTTCTGGGATGTTCTCATACTCACAAATGGAGGAGAAGGAAGTATATTGTGAAATGAAGGAAGGCAATAAAGTATAAATTCCAAAGATTTAAAGGGTGGTTAGCTCATATGTTAAAGTTGGTAAAGAATGATGGTAGACAATAGAGAGAGGCAGAAGAACATGAGCATGATGCTAAAGTTATAAGGAGATGAAAATTGGAGCCAACAGATAAGGTAGTGATTTGGAGAGAGTAAATGCATATGTTTAAAATAATAAGAATCAGAAGATGGATGGTGGATCATGCACTAACAGCGGCCCAAGAGAGCAAAGTTGATTTCTAGCACCGAGTTTAGTGTGTACTGGCCATCAGATCTCACTGCTCATAGTGGAAGTAATCCCCATCATTAGTGATACTGGGCAGCCTGGTAAGGACCCTCTGCAGGGATGAATTAGCCATAGGCAGACCAAGCAGGGGCCGCAGAGGCATGTGGTCTGTGCTTAAGGCAAAGCGTGGACACCAAACAACAAGGAGACAATTTTCAAATAACTTAGAGGAAAATCATAACTTTGTTATACTTCCTTCTTACTGTATAGTTTCATATTATTTTTATGTTTAATTATATGGAAGGCGTTGGGCTAGAAGGAGGGTTTAGGGTAAAGGAACTATCATCTTTTCACTACTGTAATGGTCCTAATCTGGCTATGTACCTGCAAGAAGATAGTAGTTTATGGCTTTTTCTAGAACAAGACAAAAATATCTCCTCTGGATGTGCAGATTCTTCATGCAAGTGAGCTAATGAGCTTCTTTGAAAAAAAAAATAAAATATTCGGATTTAGCTTTCTTTATTAATATCAACACTCAAGTGTTTAGTTTTTAAATATCTGTTTTCTACTTCTCATTTTTAAAATTATAATAGCAATGTTGTATTAATACTATGTAATCTCTAGAAAAGAGTTTGGTTAAGAGCTTGATTTGAAGGGAAGGAGAGAATTTGTTATCCATATCTGATCCCCACAAGTTAGTAGTCTTTGGAGACTTACATTAACGAAAATGTTTTGCATTTGTTATATTAGTTTCTAGTAGCTAATTAGAAAGGAAAGGGGGGAAACATGAGGTCTATAGATCAAGTACTGACCTGTACCACATGAATGTAGTAGCCTGAAACCCATCTTAAAAATAATAATAATGCATCCCAGAATGCACATAAATTGGAAGTTGTATCTGTAAAAGCTATTAATTTGAAAAACTCTGGTTTCTGGTTTTTCACTGCACAAATATATATCTTTCTAATTACAGAATAAGTGTCATTAGTATCAAGCAGTGAGTATAACTGCTCTAAAATCAGTATAACTTAAAGCTAGAAATCTAAATTTCTCTTGACCTAAATCCACTCTTTTTTATAAATTCAAGATAATGTTGCATTTATTCATTTTCCAGCACTTAGACAGATATAAACGGCTTTATTCTTTATCATCCTTTGTGATACATTTTAAAACTTGATAAAAGTCAGAATATAGATTCATTGTAGGTAAGTTTCCGTATTGTCACATGAATCAAAATATATATTTCTTTGTCCTATTCGTGTTCCAGATACCATACTCCTCAGCATCTCCTGGGAATTATGTAGTAAGTACATTTGGGATTGTTTGCTCATAAGAATTGATGTTATGTTTTATTTGGGCAATGAAATAGTTGTCCAGATGTTAAGAAGAGCCCCTGTGTATTGGCCAAGAAGTGAACATCTGATATGTATTGAGTTTTTCGTCTGCCAACCTCAGTACATATGTTGATGTTCATTAGTGAGACAGTTATCAATCTGGCCAAAATTGCCCTGAGTACTGTGTTTTACTTTAGCATATGTTTCTGTAAACCAATACAATACACTCTGTCCAATCATGAAGAAAGCCATACCCAGTTACACAATGCCAAGCTTGAATTTGCAGTTCTCCAGGAGAATGAGGTACACCCCCTCCCTCATACCACTCACCACACACAAAGTTTAGGAAGACATTAAACTGTTTCCTGATCACAAAGGGAATCATATCGCAGAATAATGACTAGTCATTTGGGGGCCGGGGGCTTTTTTATACTTTGATATTGAAAGCACTTATTTTTCTTCTTATCATTATTTAGTACATGTTAAAATTTTCCAATAATTCATTTACACCTAAAGTCAAGTTAGTAGGTTTTACATGAGCTCTTGAACTTACAAATGACCTTTTAACCCTCATAACATTATAATCCTTGCTACATCTCAAGGCCACCATGGAAGATAAATTGTTATAATATTTAGGAGTAAACGCCTAACAGAAGAGCAAAGATAAAATGGTAAAAAGGAAAATCTTTCCTAAAGAAATTTTCAGAGGTGGTGGCTAACTGGGGTAGGAAAAAAGGAGTGCTTAAGAAGATCAATGAGCATTTTACTCTCCGTAGAAATAGTGTTTTATGAACATAGTAAAAAGCACATGCTGTTTTGGACCTGTGAACTTAGTGCTCAATGTTCTCTTAAGCTATACAAACTAAGAGGCCTAACATTTTTCACATTCTCTATGAAACAAAAATGAAAGTAAATGTGGGTAAAACCTATTTTTTTCTCAAATCACTGAAGAATAAGCGTAATACATAGTTTTATGAAATTATAGAATTTTATCTGAAAGAAAATTTAAGTTGCTTATTAAATAGCAAATATATATATATATATATATATATATATATATATATAAAATCTGAAATAATTAGTGCGCTATGTCTACACCTTCAGAATGAAATACAAATTTATCCACTTAGTAATTTATACAGATTACTTTAGAGCTAACAAATTCTAAAACCCTTTACCTGAATTGGTTGTCTGAAATAACTGAGTTAACCTTAGAATCACCTAATTTCCATTTCCAGTTGATTAGTAACCCACAGCATTAGTCAATGTTGCCCCTCATTTCTAATTGATATGATAGCAGAAGGTTCCAAGCTCTGGAAGTGTTACAGTTGATACCAATAGAAAAAGAAATAGCATCAATGTATTTTTTAAGCATATGAATATCTTTGAGTTTTTAGTTTCCTATAAAAAATGATGATACAAAATATAAGAAAATTATAGTCACAGATACACATGAGTGATTCTGTTTTATGGATTTGTAAAGGCCCCAATAAATGGTTTCTCCTTAACCTCATTATACCTAATATGATTAAGTCCTGAATAGTACATCAGTGTTACAGGCTCATTGTTTTTGGAAACTTATTAAAACAATCTTAACATATTTAAGCTAAATCATATCTTGCATAATAGTGAAATGATTGTGCATTCAAAGAAAATAAATTATGGAGAAAATTCCTCTGTTATTTTCAAATTGGACTATTATAGATAAGCCTAACTTTTCTTCTGTTTTTCCTTACATTGTTTATGAAATGCCTTATTTTTACTGAAATTTTGTATAATTATTTAGGGTCCTCCAGGAGGTGGAGGGCCACCAGGAACACCCATCATGCCTAGTCCAGCAGGTATTGTAATCACACCAACCACACGGGCATTTGATTATTAGAATAAAACCACAAAATATAGAAATTGTTATGATAGTCAGTAGTATTCATTATCTCATTGATGGTAACAGGAAGTAGACTAGAGGTAGCAAGTAGGAAGAAGTAGTGTTCTTAAAAATAACTGTTGTCCAGTTACTTTAAGTCTGTAGAAAATTCCTGTCGTGTGAGTAATAGATATAATCAGATTGCAAATGGTGTTGATCTACATGAATTGCCCAATAATTTATCTGACACAAAGATTCTTTGAGACTCTGAAAAAGAATCCAAATCTCACAACTTAGAAAAATTCTGCATAACACATGAAATACATGGATGGATCCGTGTAAAGCCAATGGATTAGCTTTAATCAGACCCACCAAATCTATTATCTCACTAAGATATCAATAGATATCAATATGCTTACATGTCCATATGTACTTATTAGCTAATAAATTCACTGTGTACTGGAGGAAGATTTTTTTCTTTTAATATTTTTAAACTAAAATGCCTCAGTATTTCTGTGATCATTGAATATAATGATTTTAAATAGCTTTATCCTTTCTTTTCAAGACTTTAATATAGACTATTAAATGTGTTGCTTCTTGAGGACTATAATGGTGGAAGTTTACATTGGTACACCCCTCCTAGAAACTGCTCTGGCAACATGTATCAAGAGCCATGAAAAAGTTCATATTCACTTTTTTCTATCATCCTGCTATGAGAATAATTAGAGATACAACCTGAGATTTATGTAGAGGGTGCTCATTTTTTTATAGTTAATAGTGAAATAGTAGGCACAAACCTAATACAATTTTAGCAAAAGTAATAAATTAATTTTTAGGAATATAATGTAGCCATTAAAATTATTATCAAAGAATTGTTAATGACATGGAGAATAAATGTTCATGATTCAATTTAATATGATTACAATTTTATTGTAAAATATATTTAATACAAAAATGTAGAAAGACAAAGAAATAGGCTCTAAGGCTTTATCAGTGTTAACCTCTGGGTAATGAAGGAGATGGGAGATTTTTATAATAAAAAAATACTGAATTATGTTGCAATATTAAATTCATATGTTCTTAGCTGGTTTGTTGAAATCTAAGATGTGTGGAAGCTTGAACTTAACTATCATTGATCATATCAATAAATAATAATTTTTAATTTTTGAATCTTCTTAATTTTGAAAAAGCATCAATCTGATAATTAACACAAAATTTTGCTTTGCTTCACTACTGATTTGGAATATAGCATAAATATTTCATGGATCTCTGTCCTCAGAGCATCTTCATTGAAGTGAAACAATTCATTCAAGATAGAATTAGGCGAATTGAACATCTTGCGCACATTTACATTCTTATATGTGAAGTTAATGTTTAATTTATGAAGGTAGCATGTGATTAATAAACACTTCACCACAATATAAATGAAATTTTTTGGAGAAACCACTAAACTTTTCAGGTGATAAGTAATCTGATTACTCTCCATCCTTCCAAGCCAACAAATTGCCACCAGTATGTCTTCCTAGCCTTGTGCATACTCCTGTGGGCTCATCTTTTGTATAGTCATTCCTAATTTGAAGCCAATGCTCTCCCCGCCAAAAACAGGTTCCATAAGGTCTACTTTATTGTAAAGTTTTTCTGTATATAAAAAGAAGTCTAGAAAATACCAACCTTACTTCTCTTGGTGTTTCTATAGATGAAAGTATGTTTTTGATTGGTATTAAAAACAACAAATTTATTTTTCTTTCTATATATTTAAAATATACAGCCTATTTTCCTTCCAAGTTAATTATTAAAATTAGTTAAGTAAAATTAGGCTAATAAAGATGAAAAACCACTTGAAGATCTCCTGTGTTTAGTCATTAGTAATGACTGATTTTCTGAAAGATACATTTTTATGGGATAGAGTGTATTCCATTAGTTAAATCTCAGCAGATATTTATTGTCTGTGGCACATAGTATAAGACATGATCTCTTTCCTTCTCTCAATGAACTCACTATAACAAAGACAAGAACAAGACAAAATGTTAACTAGAATGCAAAGCAGAATTCAATGATGAGGGGGCATGCATGAATTCAGAAGTTTCAGAAAACAAAATCTCATGAAAGAGGTAACATTTGCAGTGGGCCTGGGGTAGTGAGCAGAATTTCAGTAGATGGACACTGGGGAGAAGATACTTGGAGGAATTAAGAACAAAAATATGGAGATATAAACGGTTGATCATACACAGGAAAGAACAAGCAGCCTGAGTTGACAGGAATATAATGTACATAAGGATGTAAAATAAATAATTAAGGCCACAAAAGTAGATCAGGACCTTACTTAGTATAAACAAATAGAGATCCATCTGAAGTGGGCATGTCTGCTTTTTCAGCAGTAGGATATATTAATGTAGATTTGAAACACTTTTTTTTTCAGAATGGAGAGGCCTGATACATTATATTTAAGAAAATTGTATAATTGTGGGAAAATAGAAAAACATATTTCCTAAATGTAAAATATATGGCCTTTTACTATAGATAATACACTATAAAAACATATGTACTCAGAGACTTTATTAGAATTAGCTAATAGACATGAAATGTAAATTTTTTAATATTATAAAGTGGTACTTATTTTATATGGATATACACTACAGTTATTTTTACTATAATGAATCAAGAATAAAATGAATAAAAAAATTTCATCAAAAGCTGTACTGGAAGAAGCTGACTTTTACTTCAAGCAAGAGAATTTTTCATTCTAATTGTATACTCTCTTTATGTTGGAATTAAGCCATGATATCCCACCAGCTATTAATAATTATTAGATAAATAAACTGTTTTAAATTAGTATATAAGAAGCCTAAGGAAACAATGAAAACCGAAAAGCTACTGAATTTGAATTTTTGGAGATTTTTGTTATACACATTGCTTAATGAAGTCAAAAAGTATCCATGTTTTTTAGAAAAGAAAAACTTTACTGTAATATTTGAGATTTTTAAAGTAATGTTCCTTTTGACCAGAATTATTCAAGTGATTACCCCTTATATATTAGGTAAATATTCTCATTTACAACCTCAGAATGGTAATTTCTGAGTTGGAAAATGACTTACAAGTATTTGTTTCTGAACATTAGTAATGACTATTTTAAGTGCTGCAGCTATTAATATGTATGTGTGTGCAGATCATCTCTGATTATTACTTTGTGATGACTTGGGTGTAAATTATAAAGAAAGATATTAATTAGGTAATGTTTTGTTTCAGATTCAACCAACTCTGGAGACAACATGTATACTTTAATGAATGCAGTACCTCCTGGACCTAACAGGCCCAATGTAAATATGAATTTTTTTTTTTTAATTTTGGAATGTATTTCAAGGCTCAAACTCTAAGTGTAATGAATATTCCTAGATACTATTCAAGCTTTCTCTTTTACTATCCAGAAACTTACTAGATATCCAAAAATAATCAAATCCCTTCTATGTTCTGGATTGACAAAAAATATAAAATACAAAAATGTATAACAAAAGATTGCACATCATTATAACTTAAATGTAAAACTGAACCTAATCAATTATAAAATGTTGGTGTGTGGTGTTATCTAAAATCTCAAATAGTTAATAATTAACACTATTTGAAATGACAGTTAATGTGTAATCATTGACATTCGCCTCATTTTTAGCATCACTAAATTTTTCATTGTGATTGTTTATTTCTTTTATCCTGATAAACTTAAAATAAATCAGGAAGTTGGATTTGCTTGTTTTTCTTTAGATTTTTGAAATCTGGAGTTTAAATATGGAAATGCAGCAGTTCTACATAAAGAATTTGGGTGTTCTTAATAATGCATCTGGTTGTTATTTTTCCATGAAAGCTTACAGAAAATTATTTATCTATAAGACCTACATATTAACAAAAATATTTATAACAAGGTATAGTTAATACACAGACATGTATGAATATAAGGCTGCTTAGTTTAAATAAAAATCAGAAGACATAAAGGAATTTCCATAAGTATACCAAAAAACAGGAATGAAATAATTATTATAATTGAGCTTCTTAGCAGTAAAGACTTTAAAGGGAAACTTGAAATCCATCCAGTATAATATGATACTTGAAATATGGCCAGTCCAAATTGAAATGTGATGTATAAAATATACACTAGACTTTGAGGAGTTAATATGAAAAAAATAATGTAAAAGATTTTATTAAAATTTTTATACTGAATATATGCTGAAATAATTTTGATATGTAGGATAAATGAAATATATTATTAAAATTAACTTGACCCGTTTCTTTTTACTATTTAAACATGGCTGCTAGTAAATATAAGTTTACTTATGTAAGTTTGTGTTGTAGCTCGTATATTATTTCCCTTAAGCAGTACTGCCTTCAGTTATCACTATCCTCTTTATATAATCAAATAAATTGGTTTTCAAGAGAAAAGAAACAGTTTCCTATCAGCAATGTCTAAAGGGTGTTTCCACAGTGATCTTAATGAACATTGAATATGATAATGAACAATGTTCATTTTAGAAATTTAGCAACAATATAGAAAAGCTCTTCATAGTGCAGTTTCATATCTTAGAACTTGATATTTAAAATGGAGGGAGTGCGAGAGGAAACCCAGAGCATATGGCACTGAAGACATTTCTGTGGGCAGCTAAGCTGATACCATCCAAGTATGTTCCATTCTGGTTCTCTAACTCAATACAAAGATAAGAGATCCAAGAAAAGTAGAAGCTGATCGTGTCACTTTTTCAAATGCCATTCATCTCAGCCAGAGGTAGTAAAAGCAAATGCCTGCTGAGGGCTAGGACTGCAGTTTTTTGTGCTTCAAGCATACATACCAATAGTCTTTGTGTCTTTTAAAACACTGTGGGGGCCAGATGAAGGGACCGAACCAAGTAAGTTCAGAGGGTGTTGGCCTTACCAGCACTAGTTTTTCAGCCCAGATCTATACTATGCTTTTGACAAAGGCTGAATAAAACAGTAAGTTCAAAGTTAATTTCTTTAAGCTATCATTCTTAAGCTACCTCAAATGATAGCTTAAAAAGTTAATATTTCTTTAATTGATTTATAAATTAAATTTCTAAAATTAATTCTAAGTAAACAACTTAGAATATATAGAATCTATATATAGAATCTATATAGAGAGAATCTATAAAATATTTATAAACCAAATAGAATATATATAAATCAATCTGTATGCTTTAAGGCTACAAAATTTTAGGCAACAGAAATGACATTATCCTGGGAAAATGTATAAGCATGTGGCTGTATGATCCCAGTGATAGAAAGCCATCTTATTTCCAAACAATCATATATATATTATATACAGTTACTAGTTGTCTGTTGAGGGCAATTGTTTTTCTCCCAAAAGCCTATTTGATTAGTAAGCATCACCACCCCATCTATCTACACACGTAAATACACATACACCACATTCAGTATTCTGTACCATACAACATGGAAGAAATGCTTTTGGCATCAGACATTTTAAGAACAAGTGGTTTTCAGTAGGCTATTTTAACTGTAAACATAAGATAATTATAGATAACTTGTCTTCAAACTGGGCTCTAGATTTCCTCAGGAATATTCCAGGGAGATAAGGAAAAGACTGAGTGGGCAGGCCATGGCTTCTCCACCACCTGCTCCACCATCGTATATCAGTTCACATCTGTTTTGTACTGGGCTTCCAACTTAAAATAAAATAATCCCACTACTTTAAAAAATGTTAAATATAACTGCTGTAGAACGTCCAATTGTCATTGAACTGACATAGTTGAGACTGCCAAGAATTAACTATATTGAGCTGTCCCCAAGGAGCTAAATGTATTTAAACTACAAGATGGAATTATTTATTATGTCCATTTGAACAAAGATAGATTGGCTGCTAAGAAAAATCTTAATGTTGGCATAATAATGTTGAATTATTCTTATTAATAAGTCAATACTTTTAGCAGCTTCCTAGGAATCATCTCTGGCTTATATAGCAAGATCTGTCAATAGCAGAGAAGAGAATGTTTATCCTCTAATTTGCACTGGAATGTATGTGCTTTCTAGTTGAGAATATCTGAAGAAAATATGGATATAAATGAGGATTAACCTGAAGATCCAGAATATAAAGCAGATGGTATGAGGAAAGTAGGGCAGTCAGTTTCAGAATCTGTAAGGCTCAAAAAAATCTAGGAAAATAACCTCCATTATTTGGAAATGAAAATAATTTGTGGAAGTGTCTTACAATGTTAAAGATAGATATTGTAACATTAGATAAATACTTGTTTTCAGTGTGATCATAGAAATTCTCTTCATTTTTTAAAGTTTCCAATGGGCCCTGGGTCAGATGGTCCCATGGGTGGATTAGGAGGAATGGAGTCACATCACATGAATGGCTCTTTAGGTAAGGATATGCAATTTGATGTTTAGAAATCAAAACAAAACTTTTATTCTACAGAGTGGATATTACAGTTTGCAAATTGCTTTTGTATACCTTTATTTACTTTGAATTTATTTTAAAATGCTTCAACTTTCACTTCAGACTGAGACTTTACAGAATATTGGTTATGATAACTGGAGATCATTTGAAAATCAGAAATGTGAGGATTGTTCTAACCTAGCTCTTATTCACAGGTATTTACTTTCACCTATCAAAATCTGAGTGTTTTATGATAAAAGGAGATATTGCTGCTCTGAGCACATATTACATATCCCTCACCTGGAGAGCTACAGTATCTTCTGAGCTGGTTTGTCTACGAAGGTCTATAGATGCAGTCTCAGAGGAACTTATGTTCTCTGCAAGAATTTCTTGACTTTGTTTCTGTATTTTAATGTTTGTCTCTTTTAAAAATAAAATTTAATTATATTCTGGATTATCTGGATGATTTTCTTAAAAGAGAGCAGTGCCACATACTCGTGGCAAAGCAGATTTCAAGTACTATGACTAATAGTTGAAAACATACCTCATAAATGATGCCTTCTTACCAAATGAAGCCCAGTGTCTTCACGGAGAACAAAGAGTTTCACAACAGTGAGAAATAGAGATGAGTGGCACAAAACCAATTAGATCACACAGTGCACTGTACATATAGGCAGGCCAAATGCAAATCCAAAACAAAACCCATAAAACAACAACTACACTTATTTTATGTTTATATATGTTTTAAGTAACAGTAACATAAGCTAGAAGTTGACAATGGGGATAGACACTTATGATCTTTTTTTTCTTTTGAAAAAGAACCATCTTTTACTTAAGTTGGAATAACTATGCCCATGAGTAACTTAGGTTGTACACAGATTCCACGACTCCGCCCAAACACCAGCCTCTAATACTTTGAAAAGCTCTGTAACTTCAATAATCAAGAAACTATTTGCAACCTGTTGCTAGACTTTTGAGCTTTTAAGGTCCATACTTGTTTTATATACATACATATGTTGCCTAGATATCAAAGCCTTAATTTGCACTGTTCAATTATGGTAGTGACTAGCCATGTGTGACTATTTAATTTTAAGTCAAAATTAAATAAAATGTAAAGTTTACTTCCTCAGCTGCACTGCCTCCTATCAAATGTACATGGCCATGTGTAGCTAATGGCTACCATAATGAAACATAGAATAGAGAAACATCTCCATCATCACACAAAGCTCTACCTGTCAGCACTGTTCTAGAATTTTATTTTTTAATGTATTGCAACATAACTCAGTTTCCAATCTTTTAATTTGTAAAATTATTTTTAAAAATATGACATTTGGTCATAGAAAATTTTCAGTTATTCACTAGAATAGAATTTGAGGAAGAGTTTCACATATGCTTGGCATGTGGCTTATTACTTTTTATAATAAACATTATTACACATATTTATATCTACATAATTACATATGTGCATTCAATATGTATCAATGTACTATGTATGTTTATAAGCACTAACTTTATTGTGACTATAACTGAATGTTTTACTATTAAAATAGTAGAATATGTTTATGCCAAAAAATTGTTAAAATGGTTAAAAATAAAGCTAACATGTGGCAAAGATCTGATTATTGTTCCTTGTTACCTAATGTATGATTCCACTTCTTAAGTAAGAAATTAGTACTGATTTTTCATTTCTCCCAGGAATCTACTTAAAATTACAGTATTATAAAGACATTCTTACTTTTGATGGGTTGCCATGAATATTGATTGCTGTCAATTTTTTAATGTTATTAAAAATTCTTCACTTTGGTTATTATAGTAAAATATGGCTCATAATATTTTTAAATATTGCAGATGTCCATCTTATATTTTGTCAGATTTAGAAGCATCATTTCAGAAAATATATTTATCTCTCGCTGTCTATATATACGTATACATACATGCATACATTTTAAAAATTTGAATTGAATACGATTTATAAGTGATCTCTCTTACATTTCATTTTCAGGAATTTATGATAATGGTACTTTTCTTAATTCTACCATTACAAAAATAAACAAAAAAGATGGTTCAGAGCGAGAGGTACAGCTCATCCTTGCATTGCCATCGATGATACTTACTCACCAGACAGTATAAGAGAAAACGAATTTTCTTAAGTTTATTTATTTATTTTGAGATAGAGACCCTGAGCAGGGGAGGGGCAGAGAGAGAGAGGGAGAGAGAGAGAATCCTAAGCAAGTTCTGCACTGTCAGCATGGAGCCTGATTCAGGGCTCAAACTCAGAAACCGTAAGATCATGACCTGAGCCAAAACCAAGAGTAGGATGCTTAACCAACTGAGTCACCCAGGCACTCTGAGTAAATAATTTTTTAAGATTAAAAAATTAAGGAGATACGTACTGGAAAATACAAAGAGTGTACTGCATTTATTTATATTAAAGGAATACTTAATTTGTATATGAAATTATTATCTAATAAACATTTTCTTTTCATATTTTGTTTCAGGGTCAGGAGATATGGACAGTATTTCCAAGGTGAGTGTTGTATAATCTCTGGGTTTTTTGTGTTTTGGGTTGTTTATGTTTGTTTTTTGAGAGAGAGAAAACAAGCACACATGAGCAAGGGAGGGGCAGAGAGAAGGAGAGAGAATCTTAAAAAGGCTCCATACCGAGACAACAAATAGAGGGTTACTAGAGGGGTTTTGGGAGGGTGGTTGGGCTAAATGGGTAAGAGGCATTAAGGAATCTACTCCTGAAATCATTTTTGGACTATATGCTAACTAACTTGGATGTAAATTAAAAAATAAAATTAAGTAAAAAAAAAAAAAAAAAAAAAAAAAGGGTGGGGGGGGATGGCGCTCCATACCGAGCACAGAGCCCAGACACAGAGTTTGATCTCACAACCATGAGATCATGACCTGAGTTGAAATCAAGAGTCAACCAGGCAACCCTCTGTGTTGTTTTTTATTTGTATTTCATTCCACATGGAACTCTTATTAAGATTATTAGAATAACCTTATAAATTTTGTTTTTGAACAAAGTGTTTTTTTAATATGAAATTTATTGTCAAATTGGTTTCCATACAACACCCAGTGCTCATCCCAATAGGTGCCCTCCTCAATGCCCATCACCCCACTTTCCCATCCTCCCCAACCCTCAGTTTGTTCTCAGTATTTAACAGTCTCTTATGGTTTGCCTCCTTCTCTGTCTGTAATTTTCCCCCCCCTTCCCTTCCCTCCCCAGTCGTCTCTTGAGTTTTTCAGGATCCACATATGAGTGAAAACATAAGATATCTGCCTTTCTCTGCCTGACTTATTTCTTTTAGCGTAACACTCTCCAGTTCCATCCATGTTGCTACAAATGGCCAGAATTCATTCGTTCTCATTGCCAAGTAGTATTCCATTGTATATACAAACCACATCTTCTTTATCCATTCATCCGTTGATGGACATTTAGGCTCTTTCCATAATTTGGCTATTGTTGAAAGTGCTGCTATAAACATTGGGATACAAGTGCCCCTATGCATCAGCACTCCTGTATCCCTTGGGTAAATTCCTAGCAGTGCTATTGCTGGGTCATAGGGTACATCTATTTTTAATTTTTTGAGGAACCTCCACCCTGTTTTCCAGAGCGGCTGCACCAGTTTGCATTCCCACCAACAGTGCAAGAGTGTTCCCATTTCTCCATATCCTCTCCAGCATTTATAGTATCCTGATTTATTCATTTTAACCACTCTGACCAGCATGAGATGGTATCTCAGTGTGGTTTTGACTTGTATTTCTCTGATGAGGAGTGACATTGAGCATCTTTTCATGTGCCTGTTGGCCATCTGGATGTCTTCTTTAGAAAAGTGTCTATTCATGTCTTCTGTCCATTTCTTCACTGGATTATTTTTTTTTCAGGGGTGGAGTTTGGTGAGTTGTTTATAAATTTTGGATGCTAGCCCTTTGTCTGATAGGTCATTTGCAAATATCTTTTCCCATTCCATTGTTTGCCTTTTAGTTTTGTTGATTGTTTTCTTTGCAGTGCAGAAGCTTTTTATCTTCATGAGGTCCCAGTAGTTCATTTTTGCTTTTAATTCCCTTGCCTTTGGGGATGTGTCAAGTAAGAAATTGCTACAGCTGAGGTCAGAGAGGTTTTTTCTTGCTTTTTCCTCTAGAGTTTTGATTGTTTCCTGCCTCACATTCAGGTCCTTCATCCATTTTGAGTTTATTTTTGTGAATGGTATAAGAAAGTTGTCTGGTTTCATTCTTCTGCATGTTTCTGTCCAGTTCTCCCAGCACCATTTGTTAAAGAGACTGTCTTTTTTCCATTGGATATTCTTTCCTGCTTTGTCAAAGATTAGCTGGCCATAGATTTGTGGGTCCAATTCTGGAGTCTCTATTCTATTCCATTGGTCTATGTGTCTGTTTTTGTGCCAATACCATGCTGTCTTGATGATGACAGCTTTGTAGTAGAGGCTAAAGTCTCGGATTGTGATGCCTCCTGCTTAGGTCTTCTTCTTCAAAATTACTTTGGCTATTTGGGGTCTTTTGGGGTTCCATACAAATTTTAGGATTGCTTGTTCTAGCTTTGAGAAGAATGCTGGTGCAATTTTGATTGGCATTGCATCGAATGTGTAGTTTGCTTTGGGTAGTATTGACATTTTGACAATATTTATTCTTCCAATCCATGAGCACAGAATGTTTTTCCATTTCTTTATATCTTCTTCAATTTCCTTCATAAGCTTTCTATAGTTTTCAGAATACAGATCTTTTACGTCTTTGGTTAGGTTTATTCCTAGGTATTTTATGCTTCTTGATGCAATTGTGAATAGGATCAGTTTCCTTATTTGTCTTTCAGTTGCTTCATTATTAGTGTATAAGAATGCAACTGATTTCTGTACATTGATTTTGTATTCTGTGACTTTGCTGAATTCATGTATCAGTTCCAGCAGACTTTTGGTGGAGTCTATTTGGTTTTCCACGTATAATATCATGTCATCTTCAAAAAGTGAAAGATTGACTTCATCTTTGCCAATTTTGATGCCTTTGATTTCCTTTTGTTGTTGGATTGCTGATGCTAACACTTCCAACACTATGTTAAACAACAGCGGTGAGAGTGGACATCCCTGTCATGTTCCTGATCTCAGGGAAAGCTCTCAGTTTTTCCCCATTGAGGATGACATTAGCTGTGGGCTTTTCATAAATGGCTTTTATGATGTTTAAGTATGTTCCTTCTATCCCGACTTTCTCGAGGGTATTTATTAAGAAAGGACACTGAATTTTGTCAAATGCTTTTTCTGCATCGATTGACAGGATCATATGGTTCTTTTCTTTTATTAATGTGATGTATCAACATTGATTGATTTGCAAATGTTGAACCAGCCCTGCAACCCAGGAATGAATCCCTCTTGATCATGGTGTATAATTCTTTTT